AGAGGACAACCTCACCACATCTTCAGAGCTGGGCAGTGCTCAGTCTACTGTGCACCTGCCACCGCGCTCACAGAGAGGTGGTGGCAGTCCACCAATGGCACCAAACATTGAACAACAGCCAGGCTCTGGTCATGCCAGCTCTGTAACACACCTCTGTCACATGCAGCAGGGATAGCAGGGAAGCATGGAACCCGCCAGCAGGCATGTCAGAGGGCAGGAGATGGGGCAAATGCCAGCACGCTGGGATTAAGAAAGTCCCTTTTTACCCGTCTTGCACCAGCTCCTGGGAAAACCACTCACCACGACTTCCAGATCAGAGCTCAGGAGTCTCTGCGTGTTGGACATCTGCATTAGAATTTCACCTTCAGGAAAAAAGGTGTGAAAAATCCCACAGCTGTTTCCTTGTGTGCCCAAGGAGATCAATGGTGCGCGACTCAGGATGATGATATATGGGTGTGAAAGTCCAACAGATATCGCAACGCACTGCTCTCTGCACCCTGAGAGAGGCTGGTAGCCTTCCTTCCCAGGGCCCAGCTCCACCACCACTCCCCAGGCACTGCTAATGTCAGGTTGCTCCAACCCATGAAACTGCCAGACCAGCGCTCTGCTACAGCCTGTGGTGCTGGCAGGCAGCCTTGGCTCTGCCTCTGGGTGGGGGGTTTCCACTCTGCCACAGCTCCTATGAGCCTCATTCCCACCCCCAATGGCACCCCAGCTACAGTGCGTGGCTCTAGCTGTCCTACAGGAAAGCAGCTACAGCACCTGATGCTGTGTGCGGTCCCACTTCACCGGTGTTGGCTTTATGAAACCGTGAAGGGAAGAGACTGATGACAGGGAGCAGAACTGTGAGCTGGGTGGTGCAGATGATAGTAGGAGTCTGCAGAAGTGACACAGCTGCTGGAAGCTTTTTACTAAAATGCTAAGTATCAGAGCAGTTCCCTGAACATATTTTCAGCAGCCATCATTAAGCTGTAGAATTATTTGGGCAGCTGAGTGTAAGCCCCTCAGCTCCAAGCTGCCATTTCAAGCTGGCTGCACGCTCAGGAGGATAACATCCCACTAGCTGTTGTCAATCCATGCTCTCCGGCTTTTCCCTCACATCTGTGAGGAGGAATGAAATGGTTCCTCCAAGATGAAAACTTCAGCACTCAGGGCAGGATGCCTCAGAACTGGTTTCCATGAGAGGTCCATTGCTGGAGGTCCATCCCAGGAGCTGGACTCAGTCATTGATCTCAGAGAGATACAAGGGAGAGGGCTGGGGCCTTGGGGGATATTCAGGAATACCAATAAATTTGACTCTTACTGCCCGGACAGAGCCTGGTGCTGTGAGTCAGAGGAGCTGCCTTCCTTCCCCCAGTACCTGGAAAGGGACTAGCTAAGGCGGAAGGCCAAAACAACGTAACTGTGGCTAGAGGATGGCGGGTGGGAGAGCCTTACCCAGCACGTGGGAGGTGGAGCTCTGCAGTGCTTGCTCCCCAATCTTCTCGATCGCCTTAAAATACACTTCAGCCGCGTTGGATAATGCTGTGAGGAGAGGAGAGGGGAGGTAAGGATCCAGCCTGCCCCCTCACCATCACCAGCCCCAGCAAGCAGCGTACAGGACAGTCACCCCCTGATACCTCGCCTGTAGGCAAGGGCACCCCATCTCTCCCCATCTGTGACTGACAACAGCAGCCAGTCCTGGAGCAGGAGAAAAGGGAGTAAGAGCAGCTGAGGACATGCCATGGGAGGAATCAGCAGCCTTGCCCTGGGTGACAGCAGTCCTTCCTGACACAGTGGACACCCAAGATGGATGCAGCAGCACTATCTGGAGCCTGGGCCATGCGGGACCCCACTCACCATGGAAGGCACGCAGGTATTTGTTCCCCAGGTACACCAGGTTCTCCAGTGCAGGGTTGGACCGCTCCAGGATACTCTGTGGTGAGGCAGAAGCACGTTAACACCAGTCTTCCCCATGCCCCAGAGACCTCAGCAGGTCGATGCCCTCCCGCTGTGTTTCAGCTGGTTGCAGCAGGGACCCAGAGAGCTGCCCCAGCCATGATGCCAGATGGCCGTGGTGATGTACAGCCATGCAAAAAGTCAGCTCCCTGCATCGGAGGTAGCTGGGACTTTTGGCTGCCCTGAGTCCTCTCCAGCCAGCCAGGAGAGGAGCACTGCCAGGCAGCAAGGTAGCTTGCTGGAGAGCCAAGTGGTCACCTGAAGATGGCTTTCTCCCAAGGCCTCACACCCACTGCAGACAAGAGAGTAACTGCAAGGGGATCTGAGCAGCCTTTCCCCTCACCCCTGAGCCTGCTGGGGTGAGGGCCACCGCTTTTTATCTAGGCATGAACACGACATTTTCCTGGCCAGGATTTGGTGCACTGCCAGAGTCAGCAGCTTGCTGAGATAAGGTATGGACTGCTTCAGATCAGCCTCTCTGCTCTTACCTGCTGTATGTATCAGAGGTGTTTATTGCCTACAGCAGAGAAAATCAGAGGCTGCAATAACCAATTTCCCCTTCTCCCAGCCCCCACCACCTTGGTGCAGCACCAACGTGCATAGGGAAGCATTTGTGAGATCAGACTCCTGTTTCCAGCAAAGGGGAGAACAGTTGACTGAGCTCCAGCTTCCTACCAACAACCTAGGCATGCAATCTTTCATAAAACATGCTCTGTGTCCAAATCACCCTGCTTGCCCAGTTCCTTCCCAAATCTGCCTTAGGACCCAGCCCACCCTTCCCTCTGCTACCCATCTGCTCTCAAACACAGCCCAGAGCCCACAGGAGCTGCTGCAGTTCAGCCCAGGGTTGGATCCAGCTCTCCGCTGTCCACACTTCAAGGGAGCCGGTGGCATAAAACAGCCCTTTTCCTCCTACCTACACATCTCCCCAAGGCAGACAGGAGCAGCCGCTGGTGTCGGCACTCACCTTATAGATGGACATAGTGGATCTGTAGGACAGGTCCATCTCTAGAGCCTTTTCCGTCTCCCACGGAGAGGCAAGGAGCAAAGGCGAGCACAAGGTGCAGTACTGGCCCAGAGGACTCTGCTTCTGCACAGGCAGCTGGATGGAAAGAGCCTGTCCGTCACTAGCAAGGTAGGACAGCAGGAAGACACACAGACGTGGTACAAAGGGAACAGAGCACTGCTGGAGTTTAATAATTCACCAGCCCAAAGGCTGGAATTTGATCTCTGGAAGTAACCGGACTCTAAGGGGAGAGGAATCCTGCGACAGCCAGCAAAAGGCACGTGATCGCCTCCTTGAATTATTGATGGCCAGCTCAGTACCCAGCTCTCCCTGCCCTGACACCTGCGGAGCCAGCCACCTGCCAGAACAACCGCCTTATGGCTCCCCCAACCACTTGGAGGTGGCTCGCTCAGCCTCGCCGTGCAAGCAGGGCATCTTCAGGTGCCTCGTACACACCTTGCAATCGCAGGCAGCAAATAGCAGGGGCTGGGGGGAAACGTAAGGAAACCTCAAAATAGGTTTCACCTCTTCCCTGCCCACTATTCCCCCACCCCAGGCCTCAGCCCTCTGGTTCTTCGCGTTCCTCCTGGTCTCAGGGAGATTCCTTAACAGCTGGCATGAGCTTGTGCCTGAACCCTCCTGCTCTCCCTACCTGCATGCAAGGAGCCCAAGCACAGGTCACTCCAGGAAGTCCCTACAAATGGTGCAGGCTTATAGAGGGGGAGAGTGCAAGCCAGGGGCAAAAGGCAGAAAAGATCTTCTCTCCATCTCAAAATGGGGGGTTTTGTTTTTCCACAAGATGGTAAGCCCCTCCATTATATAGGAAAAAGAAAACCTCTACTCCACCTTAAAAGCCCCTTAATTCCACAATCTCATTTGTGAAAGTGCAGATCAGAAGGCAGATAATTAGTTTTTAGCCGTATTTGTGACTCAGCACCCACACTCCTGCCAGCGGTGCCCCTTAGGAATCAGTGGGCACCAAGACCAGCAAGCTCACAGCAGTTACCTTGTCCAGTAACCACCTGGGGATACCAAAGTTAAAGCCCTGTCTCCAGTCGTTTGTATCCCGAGGGTTTTCAGCATTCCTCTTCTTAGGCCAGATGGGCTCCCAGAGGATTCTCACACAGCTGATCCAAAGCCTCTCCACTGGCTGCAACTGATAAGCCCAGCATGCAGTGTTGTGCTTCGTGGGACCGCCACTCACACCACATGCATGCTCCCAGGGACAGGCCATTCAACTCTTCAGCCCATACAAAGGGTATAACCCTGTGTCTCAAGGAGCCAAATTCCTGATTTTCTACCTGTAAGAAATTCGGAGGCTGCAAGCTCAGAACCCCTCTGGGATTTTGTAGGATGGAGAGAGAGACACAGGACAATCATGGACTGCATGACAGTGGAACCAAATGCAAACCTCTCTTTATTTCAGTTCATGTTAGTTTTGCATAGAAGCACTGTTCACAACAGCAGCCCAGTCAAAAGCAAACAATAATTCAGTTTTTCAGGCTACTCCTCAAAACACCTCCAAATAGATACATAAATTATTTATAAATACGAAAATTTACTGCAGAAACATTGAATAGTGTACCACTCACAACAGAATTTCCAGCAGTAAAAAAAGTAAAACCAAATTGTCACAGGGTCAGCTTCTTTGGTGGGAACTGATCTCATAGCATTTAAATTCCACTTTAAGAACAAAAAGAAACGATATCTCTACCAAGCCAAGACTATAGTCCCTCATCTTGAGCTTGCTGTGAGCAAAGACAGGCTTTCACATCTCAGCCCTCGAGCAAAGAGCAGCACAGCAAGTCAGGAGGCACAAAACAGTCTCTGGGGGGATCTGCTCCCACCCTGGTGCACTCAGTACCTGTGTTGCCAGCCCACCTCAGAGGGGAAAGGGGAAAGTGCTACAGAAGGCAACGGGCTCAGGAAAGGTCCCCCCTTCTCCCAAGGCCAGCTGTAACATTCTGCATCGGCATCATATCTACTGCAGAAAGACATAAGTGTTTCTGCTCCCCTTCAAACTGGACATGTTGAGGGGAGAATAATCCCTTTTTCCAATACTAAGGACTCTGCAACACCTTGGCCCCAGTGGGCCAAGTAACCTCTGAAGCTTTATCTGGCCTTGGCCCGCTCTGTGCTGTGGGAAAGGTGCTTTGTCAGTTTTGTCAGTGGAGGTGCTGTACAGACAGGAGCCAGGCTCCAGCTGCTACAGCTCAAGAGAGGTAGGTGGGAGCTCTGGCTTCTGGGAAGAGCTGTACGGTGAGAGAGCAGGGCAGCAAAACCAAGCACAGCAGCAGAGATGGGGCTACAGTACAAAGACAACTGTCAGCATTTCACAGCTGTCTGGGAATACACAGGGCTGTCCTGGAATATATGTGTATGTGTGCTGTTGTCTATCAAATATCATTAATTCCTCATTAGTAGTAGCAGTAGTAGTCCCTCCCCCACCTCATCATCTTGGTTCAAGGGCAAACACGAGCCGTTTCCGTGTCCGCTGCTCCTTGCCACAGGGATGCTGAACAGGAACCTCCAGGTCAGTCATCGGCAGAGATGTTGCACCAGCTGCTCAAACTGCTCCCGCTGCTGGTAGATGTAAAGCTGGGTGTCCCAGAGGGCGTTCACCAGCACGGTGTCGTTCACCTCGTCCAGCATCACCTCTGTGTGCAGCTGAGGGCTGAGCCTGCATACAGCAAGACAGCGTCACTGGCTGGGCACAAAGATGAGCGTGCCCAGGCAGCGAGCGTGCCAAGCACAGGACTTGTGCGAAGTGGCTCCCGCCGTCCTGGACATTCACTTCCCCTTATCGAGCAGGCTTGCCCAGCAGAGGCCCTCCCACACCTTCAAGGCACAACCACGTTCAAGGCTGAGACTCAGTTCAGCAACTGCACCACCTGAAGCATGAGCCTCAAAACACGCTGTGTGTGGTGGAATAGGGCAGGATGCACATCCCCTAAGGACCCTGTTGGACAGCATCCCCTAAGCCCCACTAACCGACCCCAGACAAGGCGTGCTCGGTGCATCAGCTCATAGAGTGGGCTGTGGCATCCTCTGATATGTCACTAGGCATGAGGAGAGGGGGCAGGGGGACAGGTCCGGGGGTGGCATGCTGCTAGAGGGGACACGATTTGGGATGACGCATGCCACAGCCAGGTCTGAAGAGAAAAGGCTAAAAATAGGTCTGCACAGAGAGTGGAAAGGAAGCTCCTACCGGAAATATGGGACATCCGTCATCTCGCACCAGGCCCTGGCACGATCCACAGCTGGGCCATCTGCGTCAGTGCACTGCAGGAGAAACAGGCCCACAGTTAGAGCCTGACTGTCACTCTGCTCTCCCTCTGCCTGCAAGGGGCTCCCCTGGCACCAAGTCAAACTTGCACAAGTCACAGAGGGAGAGGGAAAACCAGGAGCAAGTTGCATCTTGGATGGCGACATTCACCACCGAGAGTGGAGTGGCTTTTGTTTGTTTGTTTTTAACATAAGAACATTGCTCCTGGATCCTTGGGACACAAGGAATTGTACCCTACAGATACTCCACCCATCACAGCACCGAGTGGATTCCTTTAAAGAAACCCCCAGGATTATCTGTATCACGGCCTCGTTGGGATTTCATCTCTGTCCGTTTCTATGCAAGCCCAGTACCAGTAGAGCCCAGGATTACTGCAGGCTTTCTGGGCTATCCCAGGACAGCTTCCCTAGGAGCCCTGAAATAAAAGACAGGGGAAGCAGAGAGACCTCTCCAGGTATTTTCTGGCTTTAGGAAGCTAAGAGGAGATAAAGTGACAGAATTAAGATTATAGTCAAAACATCAGTTCTGATCTTCCTGGCTTTCTCTCATTTGGAGTGTTTTCACGTATATTGTTTAATGAGCTGCTTTCTAAAGCATCCAAGAGCGTATGCGTATTACACACTTCTGACCACAGCTCCAACTACTGCTTTTTATTAGTGGTACTCCCGCTTCTCTAGCCTTTGCTAATTTCCCCAGTGGGGATAACAGAGCTTTTCTAAAGAAAAAGGAATTACTGTTTTCTGAGGCATGATTTTTTTGGTTGAGGTTGCTCAGATGATAGCCAATGCTCCCTGGAAAGATACAGTTTCACAAACTCACACCTACAAATGTTCCTAGGGGTCACTGACCACCATCCTGCCCTCAGCTCTCCCACACCTTAGCTCCTTACAGCTGCAGGAACTGCAACTCCCTTGGCACATGAAACCCTGAACGGGCAGACAGGGCTTCACACCTGCTGTGCTCCTGCAATTCTTAGGTTATCCGCTACACCCATTCCTTGAACCAGCCATGGCTGGAGCAGTTCCAAGGAAATACAATTTACTTCCAAAAGGAAGAAGATGAAGATTTGAAACCTTTGGTCCCTCCCTGCAAGCAGCCCCAAGGGTCTTCCCCCACGCCCTCCCAGTACTCACACAATCCACCACCATCTTGCCAAGCTCCCTGGCTCCAAAGACAGTCTTCGCCAGCTCCCAAGGGTTGGAGGGGCGGAAAACATCCACAGAGCTCACCGGGACCTGTGGAGGCTTCCCTGTCCCCAGAGAGACCACCAACCCCAATTTTCTTACTTTCTGCCTCTGACCCTGTGGACAAACAAAAGATTTGTTTGCAAGGACCAACAATTAATGCGGAGCCTGTCTTTTACAGCAGTCTTGGGGAAGCTCTGAGAGCCAAGGCGAAAGGCTTGGTGCTTTTTCTCTCCCCCAGGTATAATCCATGTGACTTCCAACAGTTGCACTGTTTTGTCCCTTACACCCCTGGCTGCACCCAAACCCACAGGATCACCCCAAAGACAAGTCCTAGGACCAGATGACTGTGAAACAGTCCGACTCTTTCAGTCATTTTGGCAACACACCTCCCCTTTCAGCTACAGGGAGCAGTAGCTGCCAGCAGTTATTCATCTTTCTAAGGAACTTGCCACACCACAGAAGGCATTCACTCTTCAGCCTTGCAGAGCGCCACCATTGTCTTCTCCATTTATTTGTGGGCAGAAAAAGACCCTGCAGAGCTGCATCAACGGCCACACACAAGCACCAACTGAATCATTCTGATTCAGCTGATGAGGCTGCCTCACCGTCTCACACCCTTGTCAGAAGAGGTATTTCACCTCTCAGCCACCATTCCCAACACATATACCCCT